AGGGTATATATTTTTTCTACAGGCTATTGAGTGAACCAAACGACTCTGTAAAGTTGCCGTCCATGCTCTGGTGGGAAAAGGAACTACACTTCTCCATACCATTGGAGCAATGGTATACAGTTATCTCCCAACCTTTAAAACATCTAAATGTCTGAGTCACTGGGAATCTGTTCAAAAAAATATTACACAAATGGTATTTTACGCCCCAGAGATTGGCGAGGGTTGGTGGGCTCATTGTCTCATACTTGGTGGTCATGCGACTCACTCAAGTCTTTCTGGTCTGATATCTCCGCTCTTATATTCATACTCACCCGGGCTCCGTGCAATCTATCCCCACAACCTGCTCTACTGGGAATAGGTTTGGAAGTTTGGCCTAAAACATCCCGCACAGTGGTATCTCATGTCCTCATTGCCGCTCGACTGGCTATAGCAAGAGCCTGGAAGCAACCTGAACCCCCTCCTCTACGAAATGCCATTCAAATCTTCAATACTCACGCTCACTTTGAATTTCTCTTCGCTAAAGCCAATCTTACCACTCATCTCTTCACCTCCCAATGGTCCTGCTGGCTTTCGGATTCCAGATGCCTGGTTAAAATGTATTGCACTAAACTATGGTTTGCCTTCCTACTGATGTAATCACATCTCTACACCATGATCACTTTAATATGCTGATTAAAGATGTATGCGGGAACATTTATTTCTATATTCAGGTTATGCTGTAAGATTTAAAATTGCGGTTGGGTATACTGTTGGTTGTACCCTTTATGCTGCTGTATATGCCACATGTCTGAGGCCTTTTTGTCCTTTTTCTCTTCTTCTTTAATTTTTGTACCAAATGGTATGTTTGTATTTATTATATGCAAACCTAATAAAACTTATTGATAAAAAAAAAATTCCTCCAAGCTTCTTGCAGGACCTCCCATACTTCTTCTTTTGGCTGCTTTGTTTTGTTGTTCTTCTCCCAGTCCAAGTGATCTCCCGCAGCTTCAGTTATAGTGAAGTCAGAGCTCTGAGGTGGCCAATTGAACACTGTAAGTGTTTCATTTTCCACTCAGAGGAGGTCAGATCTGTGTTAGTTATATGTGTTTGGGGTCATTGGCATGTTGAAAGATGGAATCGTTGCCGTCAGTTCCCTTCCAGGAGGCCGGGCACGCTGAATCGCAATCTAAAACGAATCGGAAAATGGTAAGCGCAGCGACGGGACGACCATTCCTTTCTTTCATCAGTCGATCATCCAGATATCCCAACTCTCTCGGACGCTCCGGGAGTCTCTCCGCCCGGGAGAGAGACACTTCCTCCCGGAAAGGTTTAATCTGCTCGATCGCCTCCCAACGCTCACCCGCCGTTCACGTCTGTATAGAGCGGCTCCCGGGGAGGGCAGGTGCTGCGTGTAATTAGTACGCAGCCCCTGTCCTTCTCTATGGGACTACGCGGCCGTACGCTCACCCGCCGCGCACGGCCGTACCGAGCAGCTCCCGGGGAGGACAGGCGCTGCGTGTGATTAGTACGCAGCCCCCGTCCTTCTCTATGGGAGTACACGGCCCTACGCTCACCCGCCCTGTACGTCCGTGTGGGTGAGCGTACTCGTACACTGACAGGATGGATCCTATCTGCGTCTGAGCCGGAAAACACGCACCCCTACGGACCTGCACTTGGGTTGAGCGTAGGGCGGCGTACGGCCGCGTAGTCCCATAGAGAAGGACGGGGGGGCTGCGTACTAATCACACGCAGCAGCTGTCCTTCCCGGGAGCCGCCCGATACGGCCGCGCACGCAGCACCTGCTGTACCTGCGGGCCGATTACAGTGTGAATGAGGGCTTACAGTTATTAAAATACTACACAGTAAGAACTTACGGCTGGAATAAAAGATTACAGCTTGGGGCACAGCTGGCAGAGGAACAAAACAAATGGCAAACGCACTCATCTACAGCTGGCAGAGGATCCGTCCCGGTCACAGTGCAGCCTTGCGCTGTCAGCATACAGCGGGCAATACCCTGCTATATGCTGAGTTTTGGGTCACAGGAGGACGTTAGTACTGTATATGTCCTCCTGTAATCCTAAAGAGATCTATGGCCAAAAAAGGATCGGGCCGTAGTTCTCTTTTAACTCAGCAACTCCTTAGAAGGGCTGGTGGATAAAGGGTCCGGGGCAAATCAGCTTCCCATACATCAGCATAATGTATTAACAATGTACCCGGTGGTAATTATGGCCCAGATACCAAATGAAGGCCCTGTTTGCTTTTACGCCAATTTGTGGAAAGGCAGCGCGGTGTTAATTGGTACACCAAAGGAAATACGATTCGGCTCTAGTAGAGTGTTATTTTATATATTATACCAAAAACATTCTTTGCATTTTACAGGCTTTTCAACGAGACATTTTATACACTTCCATAAACACACAGCTCTGCTGTATAAATATATCAAGTATCAGCCCTCGTTCACACTGTATTCTGCCCGCGCGTACAGCTCCGTACTGTTGTGAATGAGGGCTTACAGTTATTAAAATACTACACAGTAAGAACTTACGGCTGGAATAAAAGATTACAGCTTGGGGCTCCTGCACACCGGCATTTCTCTTTATATTCTTTTTCTTCTGCGGGCAAAAGGAAACACTATACTTGTTCCCTAGACCACTGTAGTTCTTCCTGTTGACCCCTATAGGACACAGTAGTAACATAGCCGATGGTTGCAAGAACTACAGCGGCCAGCAAGGGACAAATTCTTTGTTAGCAGTGCCACCGGAACTGAAAATGAAGGAAATTGTCCATTATTGAGTTGTAATTGGTTTAGGAATAATGGGAAAATCCTTCTAGGGGACAGGTAATGAAGGAAAATATTTCTAATGGGGCATAGTGTAAAAACGCTTGATAGGGGGTTTTTAACCGTCCCCTACTCTATCCAAGACTGACAAAATGGTTTTGACTTTATGTACATGTTGGGGTCTCTACTTATTATGAATTTGCATGAATATTTCTGAACGAATAGATGCAAAAACGAACATTCTTAAATATATTTTCTAAGTCAAATGTATGTAATACTGCATTATGACCACTGGGTGGAGCTGAGGAGCACAGAATACTTATTTTACATACTCCTCATCTCCATCTAGTGGCTAAAATGCAGTATTACATTACATACATTTGAATGCTTTTTCTAACTCGACACAAAGACTAGTTAAAGAGGACACAAATCACCACATTTGCAATATTTGTATGGTAAATGGCCAGCATAAGGTTACTTTAACACCGTTGATCTTATTCAATGAAAAATAGAGAAAGTGCAATATTGGTGTGCACCAATTTACAGCAGCCGATCAGAAAGCAACCCCTCAACTTATCGAACTCCAAGAAACTGGCATTTAGTTGGATGCTCGGGGTCACTAAACAGCACTTTACTCCTGAAGTTGGCACTCATATATGCGTTTGCTGATCATACGGCGACCACAAGGCCTCATTCACATGAACGTCAGGATTTAAAACAATGGAGTGCTGATTAACATGCCTATAGGGCTTTATAATCGATTATGTCGATTAGTTGTTGCAGCCCTAGAGCTGACTCTTATTTAAAGACACTTGTTAGCTGTGCTTACGTTAATAAACACTTGCCGAATGTCCTCTCTAAGTTGGCTTTATATTTTTAAAAGGGGGTAGTGATGTTAAAGGGGAGTGCTATGGAAGAAGTGCATGCCCGGGACATGCAGTTCCAGGTGCTGGGCGGGTAGTTTTCTACATTTAGCCAGGCTTTGGGCAAGCAGAGCTAAATGTACAGCACCGAAGTCGCCGAGATGCAGCCTGCAGGTCTGTGCTATTCTCCATGGTGGGCGGGGGGGGGGCGGGGCTGGTGGGTAGAGGGGCGCATTGAGGAACCTGGCCTTGGGGCAACAGAGAGAGAAAATTCTGCCCTGCTGGCCTGGCGCTACTAGCTATCTCTAGTACTGGCTGACTGGCTGGCACTGGAATTGGTTATAAGCAGTGGCGTCACAAGGGGAGTGCGGCCCGCACCCGGGTGACACCATTGGAGGGGTGGCACCAAAATGACTGAGAGTCATTTTGGTGTCACCCCCCTCTGAAAAGTCGGGCGCTCGGTCATGGACCTGATACTCGCCTGACAGTATCAGGAGAGAGAAGAGGGGACCCAGCGGCATACCTTATCCCACCGGGTGACTGTCCCTTTCCTCTCTCTGCCGGTGTCCATCACCAAGATGGCCGCCGGCAAGTATCAAGATCGCCGCCGCGTGCGCGATGATGTCACGCGCATGCGCGGTGACGTCTCGGCGGAGGGACACCCTGTAACCGCTCCTGGTGTCACCCAGCCTAGGGACGCCCCTGGCTAGAAGTACTGATTTTGGCTGGCACTGCTGCTGACAGGAAGTGGCTACAGGAGCTGTTCCTGTCTCCTCCCCCCCAGTGCCTAGTGAACGCATCAAAAATGCTTCTTGAATGCGCCACGACTGCTATAGGCATGCGTACATTAAAATGAGTTGGTTGTCAAGCGGCAAAGCCATCCGAACATGGAATGGTGTCCAGTTTTTTTACTAATTTGTATCCGTGCGCATAATAAGCCCTCAATTTCCTCTTATACTTGACAGCAGCTATTATGTACAAACATCGCATTTCAGGCCGCTATCGGCTATATATATAATCTGCTGACAACATGGTAGATAATACAAGACAATTTCTGATCCTTGGTCGACCAATGGAAGTGAGTTTCCATGCGAGACAACCTCTTTCTACTGTCCCAAAAAACTGCTTTGACCAATAGTATTTACATTGAGGGGGAATTGATCAAAACTGGAGCCGGCTGAATCTGGAGCAGTTGCCATGACAACCAATCAGCTTCTCTCTCTTCAGTCTGTTAAGTTGTGACCTGAAAATAAGAGATAGCAGCTGATTGGTGGCCATGCACAGCTGCTCCAGATTTTGTCTGCTCCAGTTTCGATCAATTCCCCTCATAGTGTCTCACCACCATACAGACAGTGGACGCTTTCCGAATATAACATCTATTACACAATGGAGTCCATGCGTCCTACTGGGGCCTTTACATCTCCAGAGGCCACATAGGACATATAAGGTCCATCTAGAATTTGCTCGACTTCTGCGTGTTTGACCAGCCAACACTTGGACATGTGTGTCTGGGCCGCGGAGTCTTTCAGCGGTCTTACAGCAAGAACGGCGGGAGCCGTGCGATCGTTTCTCTTCAGGACCGCCGAGAGGGTCAGATCATCGCTCTGCTTCCGCTCAGCGACTTCCATGCGGCTGTGTTGGAATTGACCTAAAGTAAGAAATAGGCCGGTTCAATATTTTCACGTAAACATGAGAGCTGTGGAAATTAAAGATTCACTTCTCGATTAATCGTTAAACTTTTTGTATGTGTATAGGTCATTGCTGTGCTGTATGTGTATAGGCCAATGTAGTTGGATCTGTATGTGCGTTATAATTAATCGAAATTAATCAATTAATCGATTTTAAAAAAATTTGATTAATCGAACATGAAAATGTTAATCATTACCAGCCCTAATAAAAATGTTTAGTAGAAAATATATCAGAGCCGCATAACGCACTTTATTTTTTGATTCAGTGATGTCCAGGCTCCTTCCACATGGAGTCTTCATTTCTTTTTCTTTTTTTTTAACCCCTTGCTGACCGGTGTTTACACCCCCTTCCTGTTCACCCTGCCCGCCCGCCCAAAGACGCCCACCCGCATCCAGAATGCTCTCGTCCGGCCATTTCTGGACGTTCGGCGGACGGGAGATGGTTAAGGAAATGGAGTCTCAAGGGTTCATGCAGTGTCCTTCACATTAAAAACTATACCGTGTTACCTGACCTGATCTTACAATTTGTTAACATGTTTTAAATATGTTCTTCATTGTCTATGATTCGATATTGTGTGAGACCTTGTGGCCTCCGCTTGTCCTCATTTTCTATGTACCCCACCCTTTTTGTTCATAAATAAAGAATAAAAAAAAAAAAACTATACCGTGACGTAATCCGGTCACCTAAAAAAAAAAAAATCTGGGGTTCTGGATTCATTTTGGTGTATGAGAGAAAATCTGCCTATGGCATCCCCGAGTGCATTCATATTTCCTATTTCTGAGCCTTATAGTGGCCTTATCATGTAGCTTTTCACTCACCTCATAGTTCTAGCCGACCCGTGACAATGAGACTGTCACAGGTCGGCTCAGTAGATCGGGAGGTGAGCGAACACATACCGGCGTTCGCTCACTTCTCGATCCTGTCACGGCCCTCTGCCGTGACAGGGGAGGGGCTGGATTGCCCTGGGGGCGGGTACAGCTGGCTCTGCCTCTAGATAGGCAATTTGTGGCTGGACGTACAGTGTACGTCTCCCGTCACGAAGGGGTTAAAGGGTTAAGGTTTTCCCCCATAGTTCTCCTTAGGGTGACGGGAGGACACAAACTAGCGTCCTCCCATCACCCTAGGCTCAGTATATAGGGGGCTACAACTCGCGGTATACTGAGACGCCGCAGCTGAAGCAGGTCCCGACAATTATGTCTGGATCCGCCCAGCTGCGTGAGTGACAGCTGGCTCCTCCTATCTAGAGGCAGAGCCAGCTGTACCCGCCCCCTCCCCCGTCCGTTCCGCCAGTCAGCGCTGGAGGATCGGAGCGGGGAGAGGGGAATCCAGCCCCTCCCCTGTCACGGCAGAGAGCAGTGACAGGATCGGGAAGTGAGCGAACGCCGGTATGTGTTCTCTCACTTCCCGATCTACTGAGCCGACCTGTGACAGTCTCATTGTCACAGGTCGGCTAGAACTATGAGGTGAGTGGAAATCACTCCCCCCCCCTCCCCCCCCTCATAGTTCTCCTTTAAGCCTCTTGACTTGGCTGTGTACAAAAACCAGTATTTGCATTTGTGATGGGAGTGGATACTATGGCGGCACCACAGTGTATATTGTCTGCACATGTTACAATGTCTCACCTAACAACCCTCCAGAGCTGGACGACAAGCCGTGTCCTTTGACTATGTAGAAACCCAGGTGGTTCAGCTGTAGGTACGTTGGGTGCTGGTAGTGATGGAATATGATCAGCAGCTCCACATTGCGCCCGATCCATACGGTGATGTTGCTGGAAGGAAATATTCTTACGGCCAGCCTGGGCTTTCGTAGCAGAGCAGGACGATTAACTGGGAGAGTGAGTTCCTTCTCCCCTCTGAGTGTCAAGCTGTCCAAAGTTACGTTGATGATGTAGTTGGAGCGCGGCTGGTTGACGTTGACGGTTACAACGTTGAGGTAGGTTCGTAGCCGGTCCTCATGGCCGATTCGTGGTGGAGCCTTTGTCAAATGACCGCTCACGGTGATACCTGTATAGGACAGCACTAGATCATTATTACTAGCTCTGGCTTTGAGTCCACCTTCGCATCTCAAAAAAAGTAGAAAATATATTTAATTTCAGAATTACAGCGTAATTATAGGATTCTGCACCTAGATTTTCTCAAAATTTTCTTTCCCCAAAAAACGTGGCCATGGAAACCCATTCCATGAAGCTCCCTACGCACTGTTGTTGCGCCAATCTGAAGGCCGCACCAAGTCTGGATGTATTTTTAAGGTTTAACTCCTGAGTTTAGTGTCACTTTAACAATGAAAGATCCAGCGCCTCATATCAACACATCTTGCAGCTTCCCGTGTCACCTGCCTGTTGACTGAATGTCCGGTTATTATCACCATCACACTTATCACTTACAGCAGGTGAGTACATCATCTTAGATATAATACATTACATAAACTAATGCTTGCCTTCCATAATCTTTCAGACAATATAAACTATCGTGTATACCTGTAACTGGGTCAGTGAGGAGTTTTAAAGTGTCCCCCGGCCGTCCATCTAGAGTAAAGCACAACTTCTCCTGGATCTGAGGTAAATTCACCACAAAATGTGGATCTCCATCAACTGTCAGGGGGAAGAGAAAATTAACTTCAGCAAATATCTTCAGCTACTAATCTATCCAAGAAGCAGGAAAGACCTTCACTTTACCATACTTTGAGTTCTCTGCTGTAACGCTCCTAGTTGCGCTGTTAGGATCTCAACGGCAGAGGTGTGTAACATTAAAGGAGAACTATGACATGAGTGATTTCCACTCACCTCATTAGTTCTAGCCAACCTGTGACAATGAGACTGTCACGGGTCGGCTCAGTAGATCGGGAGGTGAGCGAACACATACCGGCGCTCGCTCACCTCTCGATCCTGTCACGGCTCTCTGCCGTGACAGGGGAGGGGCTGGATTCCTCGCTCCGATCCTCCAGCGCTGACTGGCGGAACGGACGGGGGAGGGTACAGCTGGCTCTGCCTCTAGATAGGCAGAGCCAGCTGTCACTCACGCAGCTGGGCGGATCCCGACGTCTGAGTCGGGATCCGCTCCGGCTGCGGCGTCTCAGTATACCGCGAGCTGTAGCTCTCTATATACTGAGCTTTGGGTGACGGGAGGACGCTAGTTTGTGTCCTCCCGTTACCCTAAGGAGAACTACGGGGAAAAACACTGACCCCATAGTTCTCCTTTAACCGGTACGTGTGACCAGAGGTAGGATGCTCCTGTAAATGGTTAATCAGTTTGAACTCCAGGCGTCTCTCTCAATCTTAAACGGAGAGTTTGGAGGTTCTAACATCATACACCATGATATTATACTATGAGTTGTTATTGGTGTCCTGCAACTACTGGTGGTTAATGAACTGGTAAGTATATAACTGGAAGCAATGATATGGCAAGTAATAGATCAGTAGCAATGATGCGGAAGGAATATAATCAGCATCAATGGTATGGTAGGTATATAATCAGCAATGATGATATGGCAAGTACATTAGCAGCAGCAGTGATATGGCAGTATATAAACAGCAGCAATGGTATGGCAATCAATTAGAAGCATAGATCATTTGTCAGTGGCAGTGTGAGCAATTGGTCAGCCTAAGCTGACTATGCTACTTGCGGTATTGTAGAGAAATGGCCAGAGGTCTGAGTATGCTTCTGTGGAACGAATCTCTTCAGTCCTGATCCAGTGAATCGAAGTAGCTTGTAGGGTTCGTCGTGGGGGAGCTAGCAGGGCGCACATTCCATTAGTGGAACGCCGCTGCTATGCTCCTTCCGGGTATATAAGGGTTCCTACACTGAAATGGGGTGGAGTCTAGTGGCGTACTTGCGGCCGTTGCGTTCCACTCTGGAGCGCAAGCCGCAAAGTCGTCACAGAATCATAGGCGCTGCGCTCCAGAGTGGAACGCAAGACGCCGATATCGTTACATCTGCACTGAACGGCATCCAGAATCTAGAAAGCCCCTCACATATTCACTGGCGGTGTGCTTTCTGACATGAATACGGTCTAATTTTCCCTCTCTCGGCTTCCTGTACTCAAAATTAGACTTCCAAGGAAGATTTGAATGTGACTAACGGAAGTAATGCACTTCTTAGTAATTATGCTTTTTTACATCTGGCTTTCTGTATGTGAGAGAGCAAGGGTGGGTTTGCAGTTGGTGGGTTTAGGAACAGTTCTTCTGCCCTCAAGACAGGGGGTTCTCAGATCATGAGATGGACTAGTCCACAACAACAATGCTTACATGCAGGGCCGGTGCTGCTGCCACTAGGCAAACTAGGCAGCCGCACTGCTGCCTCGACCACTGCCACCCCCCCCCTCCCACGGTGCCCCCCTGTCTATTTCAAATTGCAAAAGCCAATAGCAGGCTGGCTATTGCACCCGCCCACTGAGCAGAGAAGCAGAACTGAGAGACAACTTTCTCTCTCAGGTCTACTGCTCTGCTCAATGGGTGAGGTTTCAATAGGCTGGTTCAAATGAAAATAGCCAATAGCAGTTTTGCTACTGCGTCTGCCTGATTATATCCACCTGTTGTCAACAGAAGCTGGCCAGCAGGAGAATGGGGCCGCGCCGGGGGGATTGGGGGTTATGCCACAGGAGAGGGCCTGGTGGGGGCAAGTAGCTGGTCTTGCCTAGGGTGCAAAATAGTCTAGCACCGGCCCTGCCTGCGGGTCAAGCTGTAGTGGTTTATGAGACAAGGTCGAGCTTGAACCACAGAACATATCCGTCCTCATGGATTATAGGCCATGTAGTGGTCTATGAGAGAAGGTCGAGCTTGAACCAAGGAACATATTAGTCCTCATGGATTATTTGACAGTGCCACGACTGCCCTTGTTCTTTGCCAGAGATATATTAGATATATATTATTATATACAAAGGTACGTCTGACAAGTTCAAGAGGTACAGTACGTGTGGCACCACAGAAATACTTCATTTCAAGGTTTAACATGTTAGCAAATGCATTTCCTACAAAATATTTTTGGTTCAAGCATTTATACATGAATTCAAAGCATGGCGAAATTGACAAGAAATGCACAAACATTTCAGGGGTATTGTAAAATAGATGTGCACACAGGGTGGCTAAAAGAATTGCATATGCATCAGACGATATATGAGAAAGGTTTACTGTTAAAGAGGGGACAAAATATCCAAACGTTGAGGAACACTGGTCTATAACCTGGGTTCTCCACTGGTGGGTCGTGACCCAAAAGTGGGTCGCAACCCTGTGTTCAGTGGGTCACCGCATGCCTTCCATTTTTCCAGGTGAGGGGCTCGTCTGCCTCCCCCTAACGCAGCACTGTCAGTTCTCGCGCCAAGCAGCCATTCAAGATATGCTGCCCGGTGCCGAGTGTCAGCTTAAAGGAGAACTATGGGGTGAGGGCTTTTCCCCATAGTTCTCCTAAGTGTCACGGGAGAACACAAACTAGCGTCCTCCCGTCACCCTAGGCTCAGTATATAGGGAGCTACAGCTCGCGGTATACTGAGACCGCCGCAGCCGGTACGGATCCCGACATTGCTGTCGAGATCCACCCAACTGCGGGATTGACGGCTGGCTCTGCCTATCTAGAGGCAGAGCCAGCTGTGCCCGTCCCCTCCCCCGTCCGTTCCGCCAGTCAGGGCTGGAGGATCGGAGCGGGGAATCCCTGCAGGGAGCCGTGAGTGACAGTCACGGCTCTCTGCAGAGACAGGATCGAGAAGTGAGCGAGCGACGATATGTGTTCGCTCACTTCCCGATCTACTTAGCCGACCTGTGACAGTTTCATTGTCGCAGGTCGGCTCAGATTATGAGGCTGAGTGAAAATCACCCCCTCATAGTTCTCCTTTAAGGTGGGGTGGGGTGGGCTAGGGCCGCGAGGGAGCTCCGTCCTTAAGTGCATTGCTTACAGCTCCCTCACGTGTCCTGTAGAGGTGCCTGGACCGGAGTGATGTCACATTCTGGCTCCCGGCACCTCTACAGGGTGTGCAAGGGAGCTCTACAAGCAATGGATGGAACTGCATCACAGCACAGCCGCCCACACTGGACCCCAGGCTGAGGATCCACTCCAGTTCTTGTAAGATAGGGAGACTGGGCGGATTCTAAAAAAAAATTACATTTATTTTTTGGAGTGCGTATGAGTGTGTGAGAATGTGTCTGTGAGTGTGTGAGAATGTGTCTGTGAGTGTGTGTGTCTGTCAGTGTTTTTGAGGGCCTATTCACACTAGTACAGTGCGTTAATTGCACTGCCCTGTGCGATGAATGCACTGTACAATGCAATTGCACCTACCACGTGTTCTGATGTAAGAGGTGCATTTGAATGGCACCCCAAACGCATCTCCCACCCACAGTTCGATCACCCACGGTACCGCAATGTCATGTGTTCCATTCCAGTGCAATTTGGGTCACGACTTAATGACCGAGGAAAAATGTGGGTCCTGAGGTTACACAGGTTGAGAACCGCCGGTCTAGAAGATACTAACAGTCTGATCCGTGGAATTAACTTACCAGAGGACATGAAGGTCTGAAGCATAGGTGCACCAACAGATACTGAAGACGGGGAAATAAAATGTATAGTCAATGTATAGTATTACAGCATTTCCTATCTATATATATATATTGTAGGCTAGTTGCAGTAGAATACCGTCTTGTCACAATTACCGTGTTTCTCCCAAAATAGGACACTGTCTTATATTTTTTTTGGCTAAAAAAAAACACACTAGGTCTTATTTTCGGGGGAGGTCTTATTTCTTTTTTATTTATTTTTTAATGTACAACAATCCGCACTTATTCATGTACAAAAATATGGTGATCAGGGCAATCAGGGGCGCCGTACCTCTCCAAGAGCAATTTGGTAACCAATCGCTGGCCAGAATGGGCGAAGCGCGCTTTCACTATGGATTCCTCACAGGCGGAGCGCATTTGGTATCACTCCGCCTGTGACAGGAGGCGGGGCTATAGAGGAGGCATCGGCTTATGCGGCTCTGCTCCCTCCGCTGCTGCTTCGCTTCCTCTAGCGCCGGCTTCGTTGGCACCGCTGATTCTCTCCCGCCGCTCTTCAAGTTCCCCCTTATGCCACCACCGGCCCTGGGAATGGTCACAACTAGGTCTTATTTTCGGGGTAGGTCTTATATTTTAGCAATTCCCAAAAACAGTACTAGGTCTTATTTTCGGGGTAGGTCTTATTTTCGGGGGAAACAGTGTGGTCATTAATGGCCTGACAAATGAAAGCAAGGCAACTAACTCCTTACCATCTTGTGTTGAATTGTATTGCAACTGTTATGTCTTTCTTATATTGTAAAGCGCTGCGCAAACTGTTGGCGCTATATAAATACTATGTAATAATAATAATAATAATAACTCAAGCATTGTTTGGCACCAGCAGGTAGTAACATAAAAGACTGAGGGCATAAAAACAGTTAGGCTCATGATTATCTCTAGAAAACAAAGTCACGTGAGCTTTTATGTGTGTAATGATGGTTCCACAACTCTGTAACTAGGCCCCATAGATGAATCCCAGCATAGAGAAGGTATCTTACCATCATAGTCAATATCTGGTTCCATGAATGGGTCTACTATCATTTCGTAATCGGAATCTGCAAAACCAGGATAGGAGGGTTAGTATTTTAAAATACTATTTACTGTTTATGACATAGATCTATAAAGGGTAAATGTCAAAGGAAACATTTAATGCAATCAAAATGCAGATTATTGTAGTTTAGGAAACATTAGGGATATCTACTGAATGTCAGCGGTGCAGCATACGTGGCCTTCAGGTGCTGGTGGAATGTTATGGCAATGTCACAGGTCAGCAGCAATGGTGATCTGCTACTTGTGGTTCTACCTTGATCTGACCTCTCCTACCTTGTTGCTGCACAGGACTGGGACGTATGGCTATCACTGCATCCCACCTCCTGAATTATATAGCAGCTATATGACCAGCCCCCGCCCAGCCTGTTAATCAACCTATTTAGCTGTGCTCAGGCTAACACCCATTGCCCCTAGCCCCAGGCTCCAGTTGGTGTTAGCCCCTGCACTCCTGCATTCCTATTTTTCTGTATACCGATGTTAGCTTGTATTTTGACTACGCTTGTTCACTGCCCACCCTGACCTTTGACCTGTCTCTGTTTCTGAAATTGCCTGTCCAATTTGTACCACGCTCAGGTGCCATTCGCGCAGATATGCTCGAAGGCCGCAGCCTCATGCTATCGTGAGCAACTGATAGCGTGTACTTAAAATCTGTGTCTACGCCATTTTTAGGGCTCACACCTTCTCCAAACATGCAGGTAGCTCTGAGGGTCCACTATCCAGTTTGTCCGTGACAGAGAACCCTGTTTGCTTATAAGCCTAGCCCAAGTAGATGAAGAACAGGTGATAAAAGGAGAATGTGACAGGATCGAGAGGTGAGCGAATGCCGGTATCTGTTCGCTCACCTCCCGATCTACTGAGCCGACCTGTGACAGTCTCATTGTCACCGGTCGGCTAGAACTATGAGATGAGTGGAAATCACTCCCCGCCCCCCTCATAGTTCTCCTTTACACATTACTGTGTGCCGGTCTGCTCTGGCAGAGTTCTGGAAAGGATGATGGAGAGGATCTGAAAAAATTGGGCCACCGTCTGCTAGCCCACTATACTGTAAGGACACCAGCCCAGGGAGAAGACACTCCTCTGTCCCTCGGTCCAGTCCACCCTTGCTTATGCATATCAATATACTGGGCCAAACATTACAGGCCCAACGTATTGCAGAGGAACCAGCACAGGGGGTATATACGCCCAACCCAGCCCGAATTCCTTTACTCCCACCCTCCCAGTCTTCCGAAATCTAGCACTTGTACCTGTTCTTGCCATACTCAATCATTTCCTCCTATGCTGTAAGCCTAGTGCATGCAGGGCCGGATTTCCCACTAGGCCAACCAAGGCCCGGCCTCGGGGCAGCAGGGAGTAGAGGGGCAGCAGGGAGTAGAGGGGCAGCAGGGGTGTGGAATTCCTATCTCCCGATGCCCGGGGACACGCAGTTCCGGGCGCCGGGTGGGTAGTTGTGTTCTATATTTAGCCCGGCTTTGGGCAAGCAGAGCTAAATGTATGTGGGGCAACAGAAAGAGTCAATATGGCCCTGAGTGCATGCATCCAAAATGGCTGTTGTATCAGTATTAACATATACACATGATTACAATGGAACATTGTAAGCCCTGAAGGAGAGGAACAGTGCATTTGGTACAACGTGTAGCTACTGTACACTGAGTGGCCAGATTATTATGACCCCCCCCCATCAGTACTTAGTTGGGCCGTCTCGTGACTCCACGAGATGATGAAAGGTGATGCGAGGTAAATTTTTGTTGCCCTTCTGTTGTCTTGTACCAGTCTTGCCCCTCCCCCGTTCTGCCCTAACACTGACTAGTCGCTGGCGGCCACAATTCGCACGTTCAGACGCAGATTTTCGGCTGACAGTCCGGTCTTTAAACACTTTAACAATGAGCCGCTCCTGAACATTTAACAGATTCTGCTGTTTTGCTGATACTCGCTCCATGGCTCCGAGCGCCAACACTCATCCCGCGTTCCAAGGCTGTTACATCGCGTTGTTTCCCCGAATCTTCCCAATCACTTCTACTGTCGTGGTAACCAACCCGCTTCCCTATTTATAATGGTCCGGCCCTCTAGCAACTTCAGCGCCAAATTATAGCTAATTTGCCTACAAACGTCAGGTGGTCATAATAATCCGGCCACTCAGTGTATATAATAATCCGGCCACTCAGTGTCTATAATAATCCGGCCACTCGGTGTATATAATAATCCGGCCACTCGGTGTATATAATAATCCGGCCACTCGGTGTATATTCATAGTTATGCTACAATAGGTGGTGAAGGGGAACCTAAATCTGGAAGTATTCTTAAAGGCTCAAAAAGGGGTTTTCCAAAGGGTATATAATGATTGTGTAGCCCACATTCATCCGCGGTCAGTTGGCAGCTTTAAATTGAGCACCGCCGAGTCAATGTTTTGACTTCGCATACAATCTAAATATCTGAGTCTTCTGATAGCGGTTTGTAGGTAGGTGCAGTACGGCCAACGGCCACTAGATGCGCCCATGGTGCCCAGGAGATAGATGCAGCTCTGGCCTGGGGAGACTCCGTGTCCCAGGAGAGTTGATTTATAGGGGGCGCCCGAGAGGGGAAGGAGTTCAGTTCAGAGGAGTACAGAAGAAGTCTGTAAGACTAAGACTGTCTGCAGAGTCTCTGGAGAGAGACTGATTCTTAAACATAGGCTGGTCCATGGGAAGGACAGGACCAGGCCTAGGACTATGTAGAGCTACAAAGATTCCCTAGTTTCCCCACAGGGGGAAACCCACCGTGCTAGGACTGACAATGGATGGGTGAATAGTGAAGTGCTAGAAGACTGACGATATTTGTCAGGGGACCTCTGGCCAAAGTGAGTCGTGTCTCTGGGCTGCACCTGGGCTGTACTTCTCTCTCTCTAAATTGTATCACCATGCAAGTAACAAGAATTGTGCCGTCATCCCACCCGGGGGTGGCTGATCGTATACTTTGTTCTGTTTTATACCTTCAAGTAAAACCAACAAAAAGACTATCTGTGTGGACTGGTTCTTCTCCCTCCAACCTCTGAGAAGGTTCTACCGGAGTGTGATGTTGGACTGTATCGTGGCTGTAACCGTCCTGAGGAGGGTAGGTGCGCAATGGGGCTATGCCCGACATAGGGTGCCATTCATGGTGGCCTTTCTCCCTAAGGGGGAGGAAGCGCCGAAGACCGCAGAGGCGGTTGAAGCCATGAGGCCCTGTGTACGCAGTACTACACGTGAGGGAGTGTTTGCACGAGGCCAAGGCCGTGGCCCCTGAGCGTGGGGTGTCTGGTTTCCAGTTGCATGCACGGGGTTACCCAGCCAACCCAAAGGGAACACACACGCAACACCCCAAGAGTGAACCCCGCCTACAGGTTCAGTTCTGAGCACTTTTGCCTTGTAGTAGTGGGGTCCCTGGTTCATATCCTGGTCAAGGCTTGTGTGGGGTTTCCACCACACCAAACACATGCTGGTAGGTTAATATACCCAAGTATGTGTGTTCCTGCGAAATAGTAAGCTTAGAATTTAAGGTCCATAGGGTGGGGACTGATGTAAAGTGCTGTGTAAATTGTTGGCGCTATATAAATACCAAAATTACTGATTTCAAGAGTCCTCTCCAAAAATACTGCGCAGGATATAACAAGTGACTTTACATACCTTCAGTAGAATATGTTTTACTGCTGACTCCTGAAAAAATAAATGTAAATGTTGATGTTTTATTATAAAATGTATTTTATTCAAATCTTAACTAGTACACAATAAAAGTTGGCCTCTTCTTGACTGAACCATGAATTTCTGAAACCAAAACTGGTATAGAGGAAGTCCCCGGGTTACGAACAAAATAGGGACTGTAGGTTTGTTCTTAAAGGAGAACTATGGGGTCAGGGCTTTTCCCCATAGTGCTCCTTAGGGTAACGGGAGGACACAGACTAGCGTCCTCCCGTCACCCTAGGCTCAGTATATAGGGAGCTACAGCTCGCGGTATACTGAGACGCCGCAGCCGGAGCGGATCCCGACCTGGGCGTCGGGATCCGCCCAGCTGCGTGAGTGACAGCTGGCTCTGCCTATCTAGAGGCAGAGCCAGCTGTACCCGCCCCCCTCCCCCGTCCATTCCGCCAGTCAGCGCTGGAGGATCGGAGCGGGGAGAGGGGAATCCAGTCCCTCCCCTGTCACGGCAGAGAGCCGTGACAGGATCGAGAGGTGAGGGAACCCGGTATGTGTTCGCTCACCTCCCGATCTACTGAGCCGACCTGTGACAGTCTCATTGTCACAGGTCGGCTAGAACTATGAGGTGAGCGGTATACTGAGCCTAGGGTGACGGGAGGGCGCTAGTTTGTGTCCTCCCGCTACCCTAAGGAGAACTATGGGGGAAAGGCCCTGACCCCATAGTTCTCCTTTAAGTATAACTCCAGCTTATAAAACATTTTTTGGTTTTGGATAGCATAGGGAAGGGTTAACCCCCCTGTAATGTTTGTTTTGCTGTGTGTGCCCCATGTACACAAGATTTCACTAAGGATGCCCATAGTCTTTCAAGGTCCTTAGGAGTGGCAATTATCTAATGTCTATGGATACCTTTAGTAATATAGTATTCCTTCTAAATACAACATGCACAATACCAAGATTGGACACGTCTATAGTTTTTACTATATTATCATTTAGTCTATGTTCAGTTCAACTGTTACAGAGCAATCTGTGAAGCTGTATCTGCCTGTTGCTGGGTGTGGTACCACACAGAGCAGAGCAGCCAATGAGGATTGCTCTGGGCATTTATGCCTCCCAGTCAATCACTGTAGGACAGTAGCAGTGATGCATGCCGGGAGAGGAGATAAATGCTGAGTGTGGCTGATGAAACAGTCTCTCTTCCCTCCCCCGGGGGCCCTACTGGGGGCTGGATGCCTGCTGCTGAAGAGACAGAATGGACTAGGCTTAAGCCTGGGGCCTAGGCCTGGAAACTGGGGCCTGAGCCTGGAGGCCCAGTGGTCAGCCACTCGTGTCGGAGCTGAACCGGAACAAGAACCTTGACAGTACTGCTTGCCAGAAGTTCTCCACACAGATTGCCGGTACGGCTTAAAGGTCCAAGTCTGTGTTGGCAGCAGTTACTATGCTTAGGGTTGCCACCTTTTCTTCCACCGAAACCCGAACACTCTAGCGACGCATAGAAATGTTTGGGGGAGAATGAGTTGTGGTTCATTCATATGTAAAAAGTGCCACCCATTCATTCGTAAATATCATAGTTTAGACTATTTTCAGTGGGTGGGGCCAGTAGCCCCCATCTTAATTTTGGTTGCTCCTGTCTGCCTGACATCTTGTGTCCGGGATTCAGCTGCCATGAAACCTGGACACAACATTTAAAACCCGGACTGTCCGGGTGAATCCTGGACAGGTGGCAACCCTAACTATGCTCTATTTCAAGCACTAGGAGTCTACCTTCATCCTGGATGTGCCTGACCCTCTTCCCTCTCTCCCTGGAGTTCAGAAATAAAAGAGAATCATCTTGGAGCTATTGTCTGGACTTCAATCTGTCGGTGACCACTGGAAGTGGTAAGTGCTATTGGGGCAGCCATGTGTTTTAAAAATCCCTAGACAGGCTATTGGAAGACCCGATCATTCAGCGGCTCCTTCGGGGGTGAGCGCTACACATATTTGCATTCTGCGCTAAACATTCAGAGGATCTGATGTGTTGCGGGTTTTTTTTTCTATGTTGTCCCACTTCTAAATTAGCACTACACAGAGGGGCATGCAATCAGCCTGGTGAAATGTTGCCTAAAATTTGACCTGCTATACTTTAAAATGGTAAAATTCATTTAGTGTTTACATTTACTCACCGAACGGCCAAATTATCAAAAACAGGAACACTTGTTCAGCTTACCGAAATTCCCTATTTTACCCATCAATAAAGGATCAAAAGAGCATACATTTGTAACAAAATACTGGAAGACCCTTTAGCATGTATTGTACCTGTAATCTCCTCAAAGTAGCTGTAGACAGGGGGTGGGTTGAGTGACTCCACGAAATTTGGATATGAAAATGTACCAGGCAAAAGTTCAGTGTCCTCGGGAAGAATAAGAAGCCTGGGGTGAGTGGGGTTTACAGGGAAGGATGTAGTATGAAACTCTTCTACGCCTTCCACGACCCCTTCCCCAGGAGTGGTGAATGCGGTGCCGTATGAAGAGGCAGAAAGAGTACCCGTCGTCGTCTCTTGTGCGCTTTCTGTAACTGTGACAGTAGGAACACTGGTTGAAACCAAAGAATTAGTATGGTTCTCCGAGCTGATGGAGGTTCTAGGAAGTTTCTCTGTCCTGGTCAATGTTGATCCTGTTGAAACCAAAGTATTAGTATGGTTCTCTGAGCTTATGGAGGTTCTAGGAAGTTTCTCTGTCCTGGTCAATGTTGATCCTGTTGAAACCAAAGTATTAGTATGGTTCTCTGAGCTTATGGAGGTTCTAGGAAGTTTCTCTGTCCTGGTCAATGTTGATCCTGTTGAAACCAAATAATTAGTATGGTTCTCGGAGCTGATGGAAGTTCTAGGAAGTTTCTCTGTCCTTGCCAATGTTGTTCCTGTTGAAACCAAAGAATTAGTATGGTTCTCGGAGCCGATGGAAGTTCTAGGAAGTTTCTCTGTCCTGGTTAATGTTGTTCCTGTTGGAACCAAACTGCTTGGGTGAAGCGTGCTGGTGGGTAGAGAATTAGTATTGTGATGAATAACTGAACTCGTTGTCAGAGATGGAGCAGAAACTGAAGCCTTTGTTGTGAGTTTTTCTAAAGTATTGCTTGTCGTCAATCCTTGCGTTACACCAGACTGACCCCTGGTTACGGTGATCTGGGAAATTGTTGCCCTAGAAGTGGTTGACTTGGTTGCGCTTATCTTGGCAGTTGTTGAAGGCTTTGGAGGTTTAGTGACTGGTTTCGTTAGTCGGGCTGTGGTTGTCATCTTGGCTCTTGGAGAAGTGGTAGTCACGGTAGGCTGGGGTGAAGCAGTTAAAGGTGTAGTTGCAGTGCTAGGAATAGCAGTAGTTGTAGCTGTGGTTGTTTTGGGGTCATCTGGGTCATCAGGCTTCACTACTATGAGAGAAGTAACAGGTGTCACAAAGTTGTATTTAAGAGATAAGTTAGTAGCCTTCTCTGTGAGTATCTTTCGGGCCACAGTGTCGTTGGCTTTAATCCTGGCCTGCAACAAATCCTGGATTGTGAAGTAGGCCCAAAGCCTCTTGACGAACCACTGAATTTCATCCACATTGCCTGAACACCCGAAGCTGGCCTCTGTAGCATTGTCCACCACAGAGATGTCATTTTCTAGACTCAGCCTCTCTTTCTGATTATGAGCAGTCATCCGAACCTGAAGGTTTTTTGCTCCTGGCTTTACTTTACCAGCGACAACCAACTCCGACCCCTCAAAGTAATTGGGAAATAGGGTCTGTGTCACATTCTGGGCAGTTTCCCCAAGGTAAGCCAATTCGATGTCAAAGAGGAGAGGGCTTGCAATCTCGTCGTAAAATCCTTTCAGCTGCAGGGTGGCATCAGAATATTCATAGATGCGGCGGGCAATGCCGCGGTTTTCCAGGGAGAGTCGGCGCATGAGGTTGTAGTCGGCGTCATCGCCAAATGCAAGGCAGAAAAGAGAGATGGTTCCTCCCAGGGCTTTATGGGCGTTTTCGAGAATGCGAGCGGAAGATGTTACCCCTGAGGTGGCCTCGCCATCTGTCAGGAATATGACTAGAGGGATCTTCTGCTTGGTGCCTCCTTTCTCTGCTTTACTTGATGTCTTGTTAAAGATAGAAGCAGCAGCCAGAAGTGCAGCATTAATATCCGTCCCTAAAGGGATATACAACATTAGTTCCCTTGAAGTAAACCCAACTACCAAAGTCTCATATAAGTTGATGTTATTTCCAAAACTATATTACAATATTTTTACATTTGCAGCATTTGTTAAAGGAGAACTATGAGGTGTGATTTTCGCTCAGCCTCATAATCTGAGCCGACCTGTGACAATGAGACTGTCCCAGGTCGGCTCTATAGATTGGGAAGTGAGGGAACATATACCGGCGCTTGCTCACTTCTCGATCCTGTGCGTGAGAACTATGGAGAAAAGCCCTAACCCCATAGTTCTCCTTTAAAATAACCCCTGGTGATCCTTCCATTAAGGTCCTTGTTCAGACACTTCCTGTTACAGCGTTTCAGCGCTTTGGCACAGCCTCCCATTTATGCTCCTGTGTTGTCACCCTATCACACGTTCTCCCAATCAAAACTAGAATCAGCCATTTCAAAGCACATTGTATTGACATGGTCCTGACCTGACAAAAATGCTCCTTTGGCTGAATGGGCTGAATTGCCACAGACACACTCCAAAATCTTATGGGTAGCCTTCACTGGAAGAGTGGAGGTCATTATAGCTAAAAAGGTTGGTGTGGCATTGCATGGCAATGCCACGGTGTTCTGTGGCCTCAAAGTAGCCCCGGATTCTCAGCCAGAAGTGCTGAGTGGCTCCAGGAAGCAATTGCTTGTACCAGGAAAGAGCCAGCTTTTCAGTCCTTTCCATGTTTTCTGGATCACAGTTGGGATCCTGGAGCCCAGAGATTTCTTAGAGCTCTGGGTGGGATAAAATCTCCATTCCTGGGTCCATGCTTTAGTAGTGACCAGCACCTGATTGTGCACCTGTGTACAACCCTCATGAAGAGGGTGCTGGGATGTATCGAGGGCCCCACCTGGGAGACAGGAGAACTCCACCCAAGGGGTCAGAGCGGAGGCCAGTGCAGCAGGGAGCTGCGGGTTTGTGGAGCCTATTGTGCGGGTTGGCACCATATTGAGGTTGTCTGGAGGAACCAGACTGTGTCCCTGAGGATTGAGGCCAGAGCAGCAGTGCTGCAACAGAAAGCTATTAAAAGACTGGGACACCGTGAGTGTATGGAACAACTCGGTGATTGGTGAGCCAATATATATATTCTGCTGAAGGCAAGCTATTTTATGTTGAGCTTCCTTGATTATCTGTTGTTGAAAGACTAATAAAGACTGTTCGTTAATGGAAAAGCCTGTTTGAGTACTTTGTGAGCTCACCAACATTACATTGGGTAAAGGGACTCCATTTTAACACCCATGGTTTTGGATTAGGATGTCCAACAAGCAGTGTCCATCAGCATAATGGTCAAGTGACGGTCTACAAAACATTTGGCCATATAATGTACATGAAGCTGCAGGGATTTGTATCTAGCTTTGGGGAATATCCCTTATTCTACATTTACAGTTTAACAGATTACAGCAAACAAATGTTCTATGATACATCAGCAACTCAGTAAAATAATGTCACTTACATCCATCAGCTTCAATCTTATTGACATACTCCTTTGCACTCTTGATATTCTGAGCTGTGGCCTGGATGGAAGTGCCGGGTCTCCAGGCCTGCACCACATCTGAGAAGGTAATGATGTTAAAGTGGTCATCCCGGTGGAGGTCATTTAAGATGACGAACATGGCACTCTTTGTCTGAAAGGATAATCAGATTGTCTCAGTGCAACAATGGCTAAAAGCACAACTCACCATTCTATTTTACTTCTGCAGTTATACAGTTTTTGTGTAAGAGTTCCGCGCCAACTGCGCATGCGCCAAGGGCACATTCTCGTATAGCACGGAATCACTCTAACCCGCGCATGCGCAGATAAGTAATTTACGCACAGTGGAAACGCGCCAAGGAGGCGCACAGGAAGTGACCTAACTCACTCATTACTTCCCCTATATAAGCCCAGCCTGAACACTACCAGATTGCTGGATTATCGTCAGCTACTCCCTGTTCCTGTGCTCTGTGATATTCTGTTTGACTTGTTGAGACCTTTGACCTTGGATTTGTTTATTGGACTTCTCTTCTGCCTAACCCTTCTGTACTTCGTTGGCCCAATTGGAATTGACCCCGGCTTGTTTACTTGTATTTCGGCTTGCACGGTGCTCCTCACCACTGGCAGTTGTGCCACTCGTTGTCCGCTTGGTCTCTGTACCCATCCCCAGAGGCCTCGGGACACGAGGTGCAAGGGAGGCCTCCTCACACTTCCAGTCTCCACTCAGGTACGTGACATTTTGTTAAAGATCCATCATGATGGCAATCAAAGTGATGGATAGGCAACACTTATCGTTTAATGTGGAAGGATCAGAACCTCCGTCAGGTTTTTATTGCTTTGTGTAATGAGGGGCTTATGGGCACTGGCTTTAGTCTGTGTGAGGAGGAAACAGTAGACTGCTCACTTGACAATTTAGTGATATCACAGCGCTCAAAGGGTTACATATGGATGAGCTGAATCTAAATCTGAGCTCCTCCGAAACTGGGCTCCTCCAAACCTGGAAGGAAGCTCCTTACGCTGGCACCCAATCAGCTGCGGCCAGGGGGTTTTCCAATAACAGCTGCAAATAAGCAAAGGGGCAGGATTCTGTGACATCATTGACCTTATATGGCCACGTGGCTATAGTTGGTCAATGATGTTAGCACAAGCATCCCGCCCCTTTGTTTATGTGCAGCTGGGAGACGGGGCATTCCCTGTCCCGCAGCTGTTTGGTTGGGTGTCCCCATGTCTCATCCAGGTTTAGAGGAGCTCAGGTTCAAGCTGGG